TGTATATGTATATGTATATGTATATGTATATGTATATGTATATGTATATGTATATGTATTTCACATATATAATTATCAGATTCTAAAATCAAAACTTCACTTTTATCTTTCTCAAACAAGAAATTCAAAAGTGGTCTCCATAGAAGCAAAGTTAGATAAACTTTTATCTTTATCAAAGCAATCAGTTTTGCCATCTCTGCTAGTTCCATTAGTTTCACAATCCACTTTTTCTTTGTGAGAATTTGTGTATCGTTCCACCTCTGTGTACATCAAAGTCTTGCCAGTGTTGTCATATATAAAATGATTTCTTTCAATCTGCTTATCTATGATGCTTAAAAGAAAATATTTTGGCTTCAATCCATTAGCTTGTTTTTGTCTTGGTTAATGTGGTACTTCCATATAGGAGACTCACTTTTAAAAACAAAAAGAAATGCATGTAGCCAGGAGTGTAAGAGCTATGTGACAATGCAGGTAAGGGAAAAAAATCAAGCAATTTTCACTTAAACAGATTTCCACTCTTGTGTTGTTGCTTGAATCTAAACATCATCAGTGCTCCACAGACCTGAGGGGAAAGATAAAAAATAAATTGCAAACCCAACATAGGCTGTTGTGATTCAGTTTGGTTGTGCTAGTGAGAAGAGAGTTATTGATTATTGACCAGAAACATGTGTGTCCATGAAAAAAGATTAATCAATACTGTAGAGCCTCTAGATCAGAGGTGGTATTCAGCAGATTCTGACCAGTTCTGGAGAACCGGTAGCGGAAATTTTGAGTCGTTCGGAAAACCAGCAAATACCATCTCTGACTGGCCCCGCTCCCATATATTCTCTGCCTCCCGAGTCCCAGTTGATCAGCTGGGTCTTCTTTTGTTGCCCTGCACAAGAGAACAGAGCTGGAAAGCAGGTTAGTGGGGTGGGGAGGGAATGGGATTTTGCAGCAACCTTCCCCTGCCACACCCACCAAGCCATGCCCACAGAACCGGTAGTAAAAAAAAATTGAATCCCACCACTGCTCTAGATAGCCTTGCACAACACACTTTTTTGGTGTTGTGAAACTCAGTCAACAGTAAAGAGGGTAACATTAGTTTTAATCCCTCCAAACTCCAGAAATTTGTTCTGGATTACATGATTCTTCATGGTATGTGAACCCACTGAAAAGTTTTTACATTTCCCAAGCTGACCCAATCAGTCTACCAAAAAAAAAAAAAAACCCCTAACAAAACAACAACAACCCCCTTCCCCAAGTTAGAGACACAGAGCAGTTAAAAATCAAGATTCTCCATTGTGGAAGTCGTGTGGCAGAGGCCTTGTTATGATTGATTTACAGTACTTCCTACCTGTAACTGCTATTGAACAGGAAAACAGTAGGCAATCTAACCAGGAATGCTTTTTATGTGGCACCTAATTGTGTTCCCATTCTCTTGCCTTTGAACTAGCTGCTGCATTTCCAGGAAATAAATAACCTAGTTTGTATTCAGTAATGGGAAGGGAACACATTATGAATGTCAGGGAGCTCTTTTCTTTAATCACAAGGAATCTGCTGGTGTCAGCAGGTTTTTTTTCTGCCAAAAAACCTCATGATTCTGTCAGAAAGTAACTTTAAAAAGTGGGTGAGTAGGGGAAATCTTCTTCCATCTAGTACAAATCTACCAAGAGAAGGAAAAGATGTGGTAGGAAGAAGTTTAATGTTGAAGTGTGACATTTTTAAACTACTCTTTGAACATTTCCATTTCTTACACATTTAGCTTCGTTCAGAATGTTAGCAAGTTATACTGATGTTGTCATTTCTCCATGAATAGCTATCTCTCTATTTGTTTCCAAGGCAAATTATGCATCAATATTTGAACATAATAGCATTTTTCTATCCAAGTGTTCCTAGTATAATCACTAAGCTGAATTACAATGTCTTTAGGGAGTGCCTTGGCAGGCAGGCAGTTTTATCATCTATAAACCTTATTGTGTATTTGTAGTTTAAATATTTTCTGAAGGCCACACTAGAAACCACCACATGCATCCTTTTGTTCTTTTCCCTGAAGGCATTTTTACTATATGACTGTACTGTACAGCTTGAGCTCTAGTGACAATGTATAGAATTGGGTCATTTAATTTTATTTATTCTGGCCCAGCCTCACTAATAGGCAGAAGGTGCCTAAGTCTCAGGTTGCAGAAGCCAGTAAAGGCAAGCTTTTACCCTCTTTAAAATCCCCAGCTAGACCAGATCTCCTGAACTAGGGTGTTGTTTCAGGTATAGTGATACCTTGGCATTCAACTACTTTGAAACTCATCAAATTTGGTATTGAACACATTTTGACATGAACATTTTGTCTAGGTACTCATCATTTGTTTGGTACTCAACGCACAAGCTACAACTTGCCAGTGTCAACTGCCTTATGACTCATTATATTATTGATTATGGAAACGAATTGTTTCATACTCATTGTTTTTGGCACACCTCTTGGAATCAGTTAACGATGAGTACCAAGGTACCACTGCATCATAAAGAGCAATAGTCCAATGGAGAAATACATTTCAACATTTCAACCATTTATCTGTCTGATTTCAAAATATGGGATGAAAAAAATGATGCTATCTGTATCTGTTAGTCAAAAGTCTTAGGCCAATCCTATGTTCCTATAAACAAGTAAAAAGAAATAATAATGAATTTAAGGGACAGCTCCAAAAATCTTGTTGGTACATTCTCTGCTCAATACTAGAAAAATGAAAAAAGTAGGAAATTGAAAGAAATGTGTTCGGTTTGTGAATTTACTTAATTTGCACTGCTCAAAGTTCTATTTGAGCTGAGAAACAGAATTTGAGATTCAACTCTCCACCTTGATTATACTGCTAAGAATCTACCAAATGTATGTGAAATGCCATGCAGCCTTTTTTAAAAAAAATGAAAATAGGTCAGAATAAATGTAAGATTATAAAAACTGAATAAAATTATACTTGACTGAACCATACATCCTTATAACTGATTACAATTTTTTCCCCCCAGTCCCACATACTCCAAAATTACAGCCTCAGGATCCAAACTCAGCTACAAGCACATCGATTGCTGTCTATTGGACTGTGAATGAAGACAATCTTGTTGATTTCTTCCAAGTTTACTGTATGGAGGAATCCCTGGGAAGCAAAGAGCAAAGTGGTGTGTGAGTGTTTCTGAATGAGTATGGGGGAAAAGGGGGAATTTACAGAAGCAAAATAACAACAATAATGATAATATCATCAAGTATAGTAAAACCATCTTGAATATTTTTACGCATTGTGAGAAGAAATTGTATTGTTTTGCATCAGGTACTCAGCTTGTTAGTAATTTCACACTAGGAATAATTAAGATTGTTGTTAAGCGGGATTTCTACTGCTACTAGATTTAAGGAGGGGTTGTTTTGTCACATAGCTTGCTGTTGATAAGTTCACTTATTCTGTTACTATCAATGAGCTCAGGTAGTCCTCGACTTACAACTGTTCATTTAGTGATCATTTCAAATTACAACAGCACTGAAAAAAGTGAATTATGACCATTTTTCACACTTAGGACAGTTGCAGCATCCCCATGGCCACATGATCAAAGTTCAGATGCTTGATAACTAGTGCATATGTATGATGGTTGTAGTGTCCCAGGGTCATGTGATCATCTTTTGTAAACTTCTGACAAGCAAAGTTAATGAGCAAGTCAGATAAACTTGACAGCCGTGCTACTAATTTAACAATTTCAGTGATTCCCTTAACAACTGTAGCAAAAATGGTCATAAATTGAGGCAAAGTTTCACTTAAAAGAGAAATTTTGTAAATTGAGGATTACCTGTAGAAATTGCATTTTCTTGTTATTATGTATACAGACTACAAAGAAAATACAATAAAAATAAATAAATTTAGCAAATATATGATAGTTCAGAAAGAGATCATGTTAGAGCTATGGGATTGTTTGGCTCCCTACTAGTCTTTATGGCTGGTGGGATCCTGACCTTGGAAAGCACTCCACATTCATCTTAATCCAGTGGAGAATATAAATCAACATCAAACATAGGTGAGTCTAAATTCTTTTCTTTTTGTTGTTTCCAATAGAAGAGGAGCATTTAAAAAAAAGAACATCAAGTGGGAGGAGAGACACTTTGTGATATGACCCATATTCATTTCTTCCCTTTCCAACTGCTATGTAGACTTTTTCTGCCAATCTACTCTTGTTTAGTCAAATGTTTCACTTGCTGTTATATGAAGCAAAAGGGCATTTTCCATGGCTTCTTGCATGTTGGTTTTATTTTCTGCAGGCTTCGTTGAAGAATATCGTGTCATTGTAAAAGAGAGTAACTGCATTTTGGAGGATCTGGAACCTGGTCACTGCTACAGCGTATGGGTTATGGCCATAAATTATGCGGGATGTAGTTTTCCCAGTGATAAATCCATATTTAGAACTGGTAAGCTGTTTGGTTTTCTAAATATCTTTTCTCTCTCAATATTTACAGCTGTGCCCTAAGGAAGTACAAAGGATATAAGAACGTACAGAGGACCTATCATAAAATGGCTAAAATATGAGATTTTGGGAAGGATATTTTGTGTTTACACCTGCATGAGTGTTGTATAAATCAAGGCTTTCCAACCTTGGCAACTTTAAGACCTGTGGACTTCAATTCCCAGAGTTGAATTCCACAAGTCTTAAAGTTGCCAAGATTGGAGACACTGATATAGATAACTGTCTTAATCTTAAGTTTTACTCATGTGAGACTGACTTATCTGTTAGAGCTGGGGCTTCCACTTGACAGCTTTAAGACTTGTGGACTTCAACTCCCAGAATTCCTCAGCCAGTTATGTTAGCTGAGGAATTCTGGGAGTTGAAGTCCACAAGTCTTAAACATGCCAAGTTTGAAGTCCCTTGGGTTAGAGTTTATAACATGAAAATATCCTCTGATTATTTCCTTATATTAAACATATAGAATTGGGAACATACCCAGCCTTACATGTGGTAATTAGGATTAGAGGAAGTGTTAAGATGTTACAGGTTACAGCTTATGCATTTTAATTGGTAATTGGTATTATTTTAGTTAACTGACTGTTGTGTAAAATAATTACAATATTGATATTAAGAACAACAAGTAACAATAAAGAGAAGGAGAAAGAATAAAAATATATAAAATTACCTTCATCTGAGGCAGTGGTCTGCTGAAAAACATTGAAAGCTGGTAATTTTACTTTAATATACCTACTACTTGATCATCGCTCCTTAGAGCAGACATTAACATAGCAAACTTAGCAAGGAGAGAAGAGAAATATCATATAGGTAGTCATCACTTAACAATGGTAATTTGCATCAGAATTTCCATCACTAAGCAATACAGTTGTAAAGTGTGATATCATGTGACTGCCACTTAGCAACAGATGTATTTCTGTCATTAAGTGACTCTTGTGCCATCATTAAGCACAACATCACATGGTTGCCATTGACTTTCTTTGTCAGAAGCCAGCAGTGAAGGTCACAAATGACAATCGGTGACTGTGGGATATTGCAACCATTTTAAACACTAGGATGGGTCTTTAGCACCATTCATTCAGCATTATGTTAAATTCTAATGGCCAATGAACAAGTGATAATTAAGAGATGACTACCTGTAATGAAAATAAAAAGCAAACAATCAAGTGCAGATGGCAAAGTTTTAATAGGTTTGGAGAAAAATGTCTGGATTTTTGACTTTCGGTGTGTACAAACCAGCAATTGTAGCCTTTCTTGTGGTTCAGCAAATATCCCGCTATATTCACAGCTCCTCCAACTCCTGAAATAAAGTCAGAAGACTGCACCATCTGCTGGGACACCGCCACTATTCGATGGAGCACTAGCAACCTGAAAGCAACAGATTCCTTCACCCTTGAGTACTGCAGACAATATTCCCCTGAAGGAGAAGGCCTCAGGTCAGTCTCTTGTGCTTTGAAGAATAGATAAAATGCAGTGGGGGCTAGAGGGCTTTTCCCAGATTGTGCTTATGTCAAAGAAAGAGTGTTTTCTTTTCTGGATTTTCCTACAGAAAATAAAAAATCAATTTTTGCAGAGTTGTGACCATTCTGCCAGGGGTTAATCTTCGTGTCTATACTCCGTAAATCACAAATACCTTTATTTTGTGCTAGCAATGAACAAAAATAATTAGAAGCTAAGCCCTTTGCTCCTCCCCCTTATTCGGATAACTTCCAAGCTATTTGGAGAAGAATGGAAAGGACAGGGCCCGAATTTAATCGGATTAAGACTCCTTTGTTGTTTTCGCATGTATTTAAAAATAGCCAGTCTTTCCCTTGCAAACCAAGATCCTTCAAAGCTTGCAGTCTCCAATGGTATCTTGTTTTCTGACAATTGCCCTTCTATTATATGAGATACAATGAGTTGGTGTTTTCCCTAAATCACTTCATAGCTCTTTGCAAGTCCTTAGCATTGTTTTTGTCCTTCAAGATTTAATTTGCCATGTCATTAAAATGCCAAAATACAAATAATCTTATATTTCACCACTACCACTACTACTCATTTGGGGGGGGGGGGGGGGAATAGGATACTTAGGAAGTTAATGACCACTGTTGGAAAAAATGTCCATCTGGGTTCAGTTCCAAGTGGGGAGAAAGACACTGGAAACATGGAGGCTTATTGGAAAGATGGTTTAATGGTGAAGCAGAACCACCAACCACCTGTGAGTCTGGGTAGTTGACCACCTGGTTTGATGAGCATATAGATTTTTATACGGTTTGTTCTACAGCATTTTGTAATTTAGAGGCTTGTTTTGTGTATTTTGTTACTTGATTTTAATTAGTTTGTCTCGCAAAGGCCGGCAATAAATGGATTACCAAATCTGCATTTCTAAAAGTTGGCCCCTTAATTTCAACTTGGGACAGAGAGCTGAGGCTCTGAGTTCCTGTCTTTAGAAACGTGTTTCTCCTTTAGGGAAAATATAATATTCTGCCTTTTTAATATTTCCTAAGATATTTCATTCGTCTAAGAGGGGTGGGTGCTAACTTTCTTCACCACAAAGATAGATTATCACCATTTTTGTTCTTAAACTCTACTTCAGAAAGATTCTGGTTGTGATTGGAGACATGTATGTAGAAAAGAGGGAAGAAGAGGGGGATTATTTGTAGGTACCAAAAAACACAGAGATATATTCTTTCTGTCTTTTTCCTTCTTATGCCTGCTGCATTCTTTCAAAAATTATTGTAGCCAATCACTTCATAAAAGCTCAAGGAAGCATCCTGAAAAACTGCCAGAATTTGTCATGCTTTGATAGTACAATGGAGCTATTCTCTGCCAGCAGCACTGAAAGTGTGTAGCTCTATTTTATAGAATTTTCTACGCAGATAATCTGTAACACTTCAAATGTTTTTAAAGATTGATTTTCTCATTTCTCCTCCAGGATAGAAATATCAGGATTTAACCGTTTGTGATAGTTTAAAATACACTAAATTCTTGCGATCAGAAGAACTAAGTGAACCATTTATTCTTTTTGCCAGAAGCAATTTCTTATGTTGTATTATCTAATCTATCCTTCCCCAGCTTGGTGTCTTCACAATGAGTTGGAAAATAGCTCACAGATTGGCCAGTCAATATGGTCAAGTAAAGTTGATCTGATCTCACAGTTATTATAGGGTTCTTAGCCTGTGACCCTGCAGATTTGTCTATAAAACATTTTGCCCTCCCTGGATTAGTATAAATAACTAGCCATTTATTGCTTTGTCATTACACTCCAAAATCTGCCGCCTAATGCAGTGGCTTTATGCTATCTGCTGGATTGATCAATCCTGTTTTCAGAGTGGAATTGGGGTGAAAACTTAACCTGTTTCCTGTTGCTTCTGGTTATATCAACCATTAAGAATTAAGTTCATCTCCTTGTGCACAATCTTAGTCTAGATTACTTTTCTTGGCCAATAGAATTATACCATGCTCTATCTTGCCATTGGCTGTGGCTAGCAACCTGATTTTTGAGTCAAATTCAAGTGCTGGATTTAATCATTTAAGCCCTACACAATTTCACACTAATTTTATGAAGATGAACTTCCTTTGCTGTCCTTCTCTTATGTTGCAACAATAAGATGCTTTTGGTTGCTGCAAAAAGGGGTCTTTTCATTATCTATCAACAGCTGAAGACCTTTTAATTCTCCTGATCAATTTAAATAAAGTCCCACTCTTTGCATGTTCACATGCCTTCAAAGCATGCCTGGCGGGGGCAGGGCTTTGATCATGTCCTGAGATTGTCACCTTGACTATTGTTTTATCTTCCTTTCAATGACCTGCTGTCTCTTTCCTCATGGGTGCTATATGTATGTCAGTGCCACCTTTGCTGCCTCCCCCATCCCATTTGTACCTTGGATTTTAAAATGGAACACTATTTTGGTCCTTTACCTGCTAGAGTCGGCAGGTACTTTACATAAAGCTAGACTGGTGTCATGTTATCCAGGTTCCACCCCTTCCTGCTTTTTGTGAAGGGAAGTGTCTTTTAGAATGATGTCAAACAAGCACCACATTTTGTGTGCTTTTGTGAAGAATGGGTATGACGTTACTTAGCCCCCGTTGAGAGTGTACATCTTTGTGCCTCTTCAAATCATTTGGTCCTTGAATCCATATTAGAATCCACATTAATAGTCTGCGAAATGGTTTGCTATATCGAAATGTGCCATTCTGTTATCCCTATGCAGGAGAGAGAGCTGCATTAAATTGCTTTCTTCCATTCACCGGAAGCCTAGGTTTGTTTTCTGTGCTGGCTCCATATGTTGGCACTTCCTCAGCGATCTGGAAGAGCAGATTTGTTATGTGAAAATATTTTGGATGTGGAATGGTGTGTAGGAGGCTACTGATACCAAAGCGCCAAGCCCTGTGCATGTTACTGCTCTAATCTTAACTAAGGCTGTGGTTCAAGTGATTTCGCTCAGAAAAGAATTGAGAAATTGGACTCTTGATTTTTAAAAATATCTACCAATAAACGCTAGAAATTTGCTTTGGCTTTGATAAAAAAACTAGTGAGAAGAGAATGCAGTTTTAACCCTTGGAAAGTACCAAATTAAAGATAACAGATAATCAGAGTTGGAAGGGACCTTGTAGGTCATCTAGTCCAGGGGTCCCCAACCACCGGTCCGCGGACCGTTACCGGTCCGTGGAACAAGTCCTACCGGGCCGCTGGTTTGTTGGGCGCCGCCATCTTTTTTTGATGAAAAAGTGCTTCCGGTGAGCTTTTCCGGGTAGAAAGCTCACCGGAAGCACCTTTTCATCAAAAAAATATGGCGGCGCCAGTGCTTCCGGTGAGCTTTTCCGGGTAGAAAGCCATTTCTACCCGGAAAAGCTCACCGGAAGCGCTGGCGCCATCTTTTTTTGATGAAAAAGTGCTTCTGGTGAGGTCACCGGAAGCACTTTTTCATCAAAAAAAGATGGCGGCGCCCAGCTAATGCCGGTACCGGGCCGCGCCATAAAAAAGGTTGGGGATACCGGGCCGCGGCATAAGAAAGGTTGGGGATCACTGATCTAGTCCAAGCAGGAGACCCTACACCATTTCTGGCAAATGGCAGTCCAATCTCTTCTTGAAAGTCGCAAGTGATGACGCTCCCACAACTTCCAAGGGCAAGGTTTTCCATTGGTTGATTGTTCTCACTGTCAGAAAATTTCTCCTTATTTCCAGGTTAAATTTCTTCTTGTTCAATTTCCATCCATTATTCCTTGTCTGGCTTTCAGGTGCTTTAGAAAATAGCTTGACCCCCTCCTCCCTGTGGCAGCCCCTCAAATATTGGAAGACCGCTATCATGTCTCCCCTGGTCCTTCTCTTTACTAGACTAGCCATGCCCAGTTCCTGCAACCGTTCTTCGTATGTTTTAGTCTCCAGTCCCCTAATCATCCTGGTTGTTCTTCTCTGTACTTTTTCTAGAGTCTCAACATCCTTTTTATAATGTGGTGACTAAAACTGGATGCAGTACTCTAGGTGTGGTCTTGCTAAGGCTTTATAGAGTGGTGTTAGTACCTCCCTTGATCTCGATTGTATCCCTCTGGCATTGGCAGAGAATAATGTAAGGTTTGGGTAGACTTCTACAAAGGTGTAGAGTACTGTACAAATACAGCTTCTCTATTGTGATCCCTCTTTTTACTCAACATTGTATTCTGTATCTTCTGTTCATTCACACTGTAAACAATGTTGGTACGGCTCTTTCAACATAAAAAAGACTAAAATCTGATTAGACTGTTAAATCTCATCCCCAATTCAGAATATCAGACTTCTCAGGAGATGATGTTACAAGATTTCAGCCTTTTTTTAAAAAAAAGTTGATGGTCTACAGATCCAGGGGTGTTGCAAACAGACTGAGAGCTCCCCCAGGTGGTTATGTTCTTCTTTCTGAACATTCCTTCTATTCCACCAAGCCAAGTTTTTTTTTAAAAAAATCACGTTTTTACTTTACAGGATTGATTTTAGGAGAGTGGTCAAGCCACTTATAAAGAGCTTTAACTCAGATCAAATCCTAACAAGAATCTGGGAGTCTTTGAAATTCACTCTGGCTTAAAATCATTCTTTTTGAAGTTAGCATGTAATTCAACATTAAAAAAAATAAAAATAAAGGGAGGAGATAATGAACAATATAATTAGAGAAAATGTATTCTGGTTGCATAGCGACTAATCCTTCATAAGGCATGTAGAAGTAAGGGAATTTTTGGACAATTTACAAACAATGTGTAGTGCTGAAAAGCAAAAGCTAGGAAGGAAATAGTAGATGAATCCCTCTGGATTTTTCACTGCTTTTGGTAAAATCCTGGCAAGAAAAAAACAACAACTAGAGCTTTCAAAATGGGGGTCAGACAGTGGTTTTTTTTATAAAATTGCTAAAGGGGGTGAGAGTAAGATTGCATTAGCCATGCTATGAACTCTCATTTATTCCTCTCACTGCTAGTTCATCCAATAGGATGCAACAATACAGAAATTTATGAAATCTGGTAATCTGAAGAAAATGTCTATGCATGTTTTGGAAAACAATCCCTACTGTATATTTTTAAATTATTAAGTTTGAGAACAAAAATAAAAAAGAACAAATACCAGTTTCAGGACTTCCCTGATAACATCGTTATAAACTGAAAAGTAGTACCTCCAACACAAGATGTAGTCTACCTTTTTTTAAAAAAAACAACTAACTAAAATAGATTTCTTGTAATTACATGTGGGGGAAAGGAATATGGACTAACTTGCAAGAGAAGATTCTTCTTTATTTCTTTACTGATAAAGAACTATTAGTGATCATAGCCACAGCCCTATGCTACAAAACCAATGTAGACGAGGTTATTTATATTCTATTAGTATCAGAATCCTGTGACATGAAAAAGAAACATTAAAGATTCTATTTTGAAGATTATGTAATCTAAAATGAGATTTGGAAACTATTTCTGTTGTAACTAATGAATGTCATGCTTGTGCTGCTTTCTTATGATAACATGAGCTCCTTTAACTTATGATGGTAAAAGTATATGGCAAATTGCATTTGAGCTTTTGCTTTAACGGTATAGCCTTGGGAACTTGCCAAATCCCATTAATTCCTGCTACTGCTACCCAGCTGATTGTCATCATTAGCTGATTATTGAGACACTAGTGAAATATTACAATAGTTACTTGCATGATAGTAAACACTTTCTGAAATTGTTTTGGATATTGCATTAGGATCTCCACAAAAATTCCATCTAATATAAACTTCATAGTTATTCCATATACAACTTCAATCTCAATTATTACAGAATCTCTTTATTTCATAAATGATTGGGAGGGATGCTGTGTGTGTGTGTGTGAGAGAGAGAGAGAGAGAGACAGAGAGACAGAGACAGAGAGACAGAGAGAGACAGAGAAATGGAGATGATAAGGAATTGTTTAATAACTGGAAATCATCTATTGAGAATCATTTGGAGGATAAGTATTTGGTCTCAATTTCTTTCTTCCTGTCTGCCATAATGAAATTATTAACCAATTCTCTCCTCTTTAAGTTTTTGGCATGTTCAATCAATATTGTAATACAAACATCATACAGAAACACACTTCTACCTCCTTGCTTATCTTTTCCATAGGGAAAAGGATCCAGCTTCTGTCATTTGTTGCTCTTTTTTGAAGACCAGACAGAATTTTGAAGGGAAAAAATAATATGTTGTTTATGTCATATAATAAATAATATGTCATATAATAATACGTTTTTAATATGTCGACCATACATATTTCTGCTTTTTCAGATCTCTAGCTGGAATTCGACAGCCTGAAATAAAGGTTCATCTACAATCAAACATAAACTATTTCTTCTATTTGAGAGCCGTTAATACCTTTGGAACAAGTGAACAGAGTGAAGCTGCTCTGATTTCAACTAAAGGTAGGTAAACTGAGGAAAATTTCACAAGAAATAGAGAAAATGTACAAACATTAATATGATTTCTTGCATATGGCATACTTTTTTGGTTTCCAGAAAAAAACCCTGTATTATTCAGGTCTATTGAAGGCCCAATAGCCATATGATTGAAACTAATTAAAAAGAAGTGTAGTTCAGGTATTTTGGGGAAGATATTTGATGGATTGGTGTTAAACTTTGGAATTATCATGCCAGAGCTGTCTATTCCCTCTCTCCCTCCTTCTCTCCCTCCTTTTCTCTCCCTCCCTCTCTCTCCCCTCCCCCTCTGTCCCTCCCTCCCTCCCTAGAGAGGTAGAATTGGCTTATGTCAGCCAGTATCTTACTAGAGCCTTGGTGGCTCAGTGATTAGAATGCAGTCTTGCAAGCTAACTCTGCTCACAACCAGGAGTTCAATTCTGACCAGCTCAAGGTTGACTCAGCCTTCCATCCTTCTGAGGTCAGTAAAATGAGGATCCAGATTGTTGGGGACAACATGCTGACTCTGTAAAATGCTTAGAGAGGATTGTAAAGCACTATGAAGCAGTATATAAGTGTAAGTGCTATCTTCCACTTGATGGAATATTTGATGCATAGACTGATAGGAAATTTGCATATAGTAGAAATAGAAAGAAGTGATAAAAAAACCTGTTCCATATGTTACATTTGGTAGCAAATTGATAAAATGTATAAAAGTATACTATCCTCCTATCTTTAGAATACAAAAGAGAATTATGGCAAAAAATCTCTGGAGAACAATTGAAAGCTAAAGTATACAAGGCAGCGTTGGTTTTAATGTTTAACCTTGACTGTTTGGCTTAATTGCATTGTGCACAATAGCTATATGAGCAGAAGGGAGTTTATGATGGGTCATTTCATTGTACTGGGAGCATAAATAGTATTTGAAGGTTTTGACCCTGCAAAAGATTGGAATAATTGTCTTCCTGGATGCTGTTATTCCAGACATTTATCAAAAGAAAATCAAACATATATTCTATATGAGTTGGGAGTGAATACTATATTGGTTTCTTTCCAGATACTTTGTTTCAGATGTAAATAGATTAATGGTCACTGATTCAATTGGCTGTGCTTTCAGAGATTGTAAATGAGTGAAATGAGGAAAAAAAATACTGATAGATACATTTCATCAGCTTTTACCTAACATGCCTAAATCAATCTTGGTGTTCTTTCCTTTGTTACCCACAACTATGGCTCCATCTGGGTTTCCTCTAATTATTTCTATAGCATTAGGATTCTTTATGCACAAGTCATTTGTCTTTTTAAAAGATCTTGTTTCTAGAGATAGGTGTGCAAATTAAACCCTCATAAGTTTCTGTGGCAGATGTTTTGTGAGTTTCTCCAAAGAGGTATCTGAGTTAAAAAGCAGCTCATACCCTAGTACAAACTCCAGTTGTCAATCTTTCTCTGGACCAAACTCACTGTGTAATGAATAAGTGCATCTGAGGCGGAGTGGCTATCTCTGAATTATATGAAAAACAAATCAATAATGAGGATGTTTGTGTTTTGAAAGAGGAAAAAGGTAAGGTCTCCTTTTAGCTGAACTGAACTCCTGGTAACTTCATGGGAAGTGAATAATACAACTTTTTTTCTGGAAACCAAAAAAGTATGCCATATGCAAAAAGAAGGACCTTGTCATTATCCCTCCTTTGCAGTGATGGTATTAGCCGGTTCTCACTGGTTCGGATGAACTGGTAGCAAGAATTTGGCGTAGGTCGCCGAATTGGTAGTAAGTTCTGGCTGGCCTCGCCCCCAACCTGGTCGTCTGGTTGCCACTAGCTCACTTGCCCCACCCACCCGATGCTCGCTCACCCCGCCTGCCTGACACTTGTCCCTTAAGGTATTTCTTTCCCCCCCCTCCCAACAATCAGTTGTTCATACGATCAGCTGTGCCGGGATTCCCCTTGCTGAGGCCCAGAAGGCCCCAAAATGGAGCGAGAGGGGGTGCTGTGTGCCCCCCTATGCTCTGTTTTCTTCTTCCTGAGCCCCAGGGGAGCCTTCTGGGAGCAAAAACACCCCCTCCAGGAGGCTTGCCTGAGGCCCAGAAGGCCCAAAAAATAGGTGGGTGTGGCTGCAAAAAAGTGGGATGGGAGCCACACCCACCAGTCACATGGCCATGCCCACCTAACCATGTCCATCAAGCCATGCCCACAGAACCGGTTGTAAAAATTTTGAATCCCACCAATTTGCTCCTTTGGGATGCTTTTTCAACTTCCCAGGCTTAATATTTACATTTTTAAAAAGTGTACTTTGTGTATGTTTACATGTTAAAAGCCTTACTGGGAAATGTACATATTGTAAAAATAATATTACATTGAGATTGTATTGTGCAAATTTACATTTTTAAAAAATCTGTGGAAAATTGTGCACATAAGCTCTGCAAATTGGGCTAAGATGCAAATGAAAAAGGATACACTTGTTATTCTTGTGAATCATTTTTTTAGTTGCCTTTCTCATGTAGGATGGGAAAATAGACCAAATTATCATGATTCTTTTCTTTTGCTGTTTAGTGCTGAAGGAGTGAGCTTTGCCTTTGAGCATAATGTTCTAATGGTTTGACAGTTAGTAGATTGAAACCAAATTTCTAAGTTCTGGGAAAATGTGATGATTTTTCCATTGACTTGTATAAAAACATCATAAATAGTCATGGTGGCGCAGTGGTTACAACGCAGTACTGCAGGCTACTTCTACTGACTGCCGGCTGCCTGCAATTTGGCAGATCACCAGACTAAAGATTGTCTTCCGAGGTGGGTAAAATGAGGACCCAGATTGTTGGGGGCAATATGCTGACTCTGTAAACTGCTTAGAGAGGGCGGTAAAGCACTGTAAAGTGGTATATACATCTAAATGCTATTGCTATTGTATATTAGAGTTGGCCTTTAAGACCATTATTTCTCAATGCTTAATTGAAAAAGAAATGGGGAGGCCTACCAATCTCACACAATATTGTTTTTGTAATAGTGATTTCTATAATTTTTAATAGTGATTTCTATAGTTTTTACTATACAACATATTTCCCTCATTCATGAAATGGTGTTTATTTTTTGCCTATGAATTACAATAGGAACAAGATTTCATATAATGAGAGAACTTGTTCACCCTGGACTGCAAGTATCACCCAATGGAACCATGATATCCCTTCCGGATGATGCTAATCTCACTGGGTAAGTTTTTATTGACTCATGTTCTTTCCCTTTATTGGATGATATTTTCAACAGGATATGTGGATTAGAGACTACAAAACAAACAAACAAACAAACAAAACAGACTTCCTTCATAGGAAGGCCTTCTTTCCTCCCTCCCTCCTTCCCTCCCCTTCTCCTCCTTCCCTTTTCTCTTTTCTTTTCTTTTTCCCACTTCAGGTTAGTTAAAAACAGCAATGTTGTCATCTTTTAAAAGTCTTAAGGAATTTTTGGGTAGTGTTCTTTGCCAAATGGTTTGGATTTAAGGAAGGCCTAATAAAGGACAACAGAAAAACATCCATTTGGATGCATGTAAATCCATCAAAATATCCAAATGATTTCTATATATATTTTTTCTTTTGCTGCTTTGGTGTGTTACTCTGGGTCTCTCTCCAACCAATCAGCAGCACCAACTGGCCCTTGGAACTTCAATTTTACACAGGTTATTTTTGTCCTTTAAATAGCAGGTTGCTTGTGGTCTTGATCAAGATCATGTTTATTACACGCTGTAAAGCTCTCTGACCCTTTCTCTACATATCCCAACTAGTAAACAAGATAGAGGAAGAATTCAGGTCATGCCTTCTGGGATTCTTTCCAATCTCTTTATCAAGTGGAGGATGTTTCTATTTTGTCTCTGTGATGAAATAACATGTTGCATCTGCATTTGCCAATGATGTATTCATGTGTGTGTATGTCTCAGCAGAAGCATTTGGGGACTACATATACTCTACTTTGGGGTCCTGTAATTAGAAGGGAAGGGGCTTTCATTCTAATAGATGTATTCTAAATTATTTTCCAATTGACTCTCTCAGAGAGATGAATTGAAGGAATCCGAACTACTCAAAATTTCCACTACCGGTTCTCCAGAACTGGTCAGAACCTGCTGAATACCATCTCTGCTGGGTGCATACAGATATGTTGCCTATGTGTGAGAGAGGGACTAATCAGAATGGAGATATATGCATTGCCTGTGTGTATGTCTGTGTGTGTGTGTGTCTAAGTTGGGTGCACATTTGTTGCATTTGGATATTCTCCACTCGTGTACATCTATGTCCATTTGTGCATGTGAACAGGGTAGGCTGCTCCATTCTAAATCACATGACCAGGAGGGAGAGAGATTTATTAGTCAACAAAACAAAATTCTCAGCTATTGCCGTCTGCATTTGGGGAATTTAAGCTGGATTTTTTTCCTCTGGATTGGGCCCATTATTGAACTCAATCTTTCTTTCGATAACTTCTCTCCAGTTTTGCTCTTGTTCCATTCTGTTTCCATAAAGGTGTGCTTCTGACAGACATCAGACTCCTTTTACATCATTTATTGCTTACCTTTCCATTGGTTTCAAAAGGCGAAAGGTTTTTTTTTTCCACCCCAAACACTGCAAAGGTTATGGTGAAAAGCTAGGAGACTTGAGACCTCTTTAATGTTTGACCTGGCATGGTTGTTTTGGAATGCAAGGCCACTTTTCTTTGTCGTCTCTTTTGTGCAGAAGCCGACCAGTGTTTGGTGAGCTCTTGTCTGCCCAAGGATGGCATTACTGGGAAATCACCGTCAGTGATTGTAGAGCTTACAAGGTTGGAATCTGCTCTTCAACGCACCTAGAAAGTAGTGACCTGGGACAGAACAACAATTCGTGGTGCTTACATTGCTCCAACAAAGCAAGGTAATACGAAGGAGCTTTTTATATAACAGATTACAGATAATCAGAGTTACAAGGGACCTTGTAGATCATCTAGTCCAACCCCCTGCCCAAGCAGCAGACCTTACACCATTTCTGACAGATGGGAGTCCAATCTCTTTTTGAAAGTCTCAAGTGATGGGACTCCCACAACTTCCGAGGGCAAGCTGTTCCATTGATTGATTATTCTCACTGTCAGAACGTTTCTCCTTATTTCCAGGCTAAATCTCTCCTTGTTCAGTTTCCATCCATTATTCCTTGTCTGGTCTTTGGGTGCCTCTTAATGTCCTTTAATGTTTTTCTTTGGTAGTGGATAAAGATGGTCTTTTGAAAGTAATGCTCAAATTTGGAGCAGAAAGTTGGATTTTTCCAAATTTTCTCCAGTTAGATGCATCTATGTGTGTGTGTGTGTGTGTGTGTGTCTGGGGTGGTGGTGTAGGATTTCAAATAAGTCAAGAAGGCAGAAACCACTGAGTGTAAAAAGTGGCAAGGCTTCAGTGTTGCTGACGCAGCTCCCATGTCCTCTGATGGACATCCTAATCCAAATGAATGAAAGACTGCTCCACAAAAACAATGAAAGTTTCTTTTAAGAGAGAATTGATAGCAAAGTAACAGGTTGGAATTAATAGTCATAGAATATTAGGGCAAATGAGAATAAAAATAATCACCATCAGAAGCAGTGAAGATGACTTGTTTCAGAATTGATTGAATGACTGATTACTATCCTTTCAAGTTACTGTTGATTCTTAATAACAATATAGATTTTTTCTTCTTCACAATCGGTTCTTAATCTGGTTCTTTACGTCTTACAATGGTGCACCTGTATCTTAGTCCATCCACTTTGCTGCTGGTTGTCCTCTTCTTCTCTTTTCTTCTAGCACTTTCCTAGCACTAGGGAAAACTATCTATGGCATTCTCAGGAATTTTCTCCAACATCGTATTTCAGAAACATCAGTGTTCTTCCTATCTTTCAAAATCCAGATTCCATACTTAGAAATGTAAATAGTCAGAGAGAAAAAATTGAAGGAAAGCAAAAAAACCCAAATTAGAACGCCAAGAGTGCTCTGCAGAAATTTTGGGGCTGCAATACCCAGAATTCCCAGGCAGCCCATGGTTTGAATTCTGGGAATTGTGGTCCCAACACATCTAGAATGGTTGGGAAAGATTGATGGAGTAATTCTCTAAGGTTGTTTAAGTTTCCTGAAATCCAGTGCATGGACAGCTATGTTATAAGCTGATTTGGTCACTTCCTTTCAAAGTTTCCATTGCTTTTACCACTTCAGCCAGTTTAGTGATTAATTGATTGATTTTGGAAAATTTATATTCTGCATACTTGGACATGGCGACTCAAAGTGGCTTACATGGATACAAAAACATCATATAAAAGAAATGAAAATAATAATAAGAAAAATAATAATATAATAAAAAAACAATAATAAAAATCCCACCCCCATCCTGATGACAACACACATTCATACAAACCATTTAATGGGGTCCAACCCACTCTGTGTTCCCCAGGCCTGCTGGCAGAACCAGTCCATTGGCTTTGATAAGAGAACTAAACTTCACCCTTCTGAAATATAAAATAATAAGACCTCCCAAGGATCCTGCAGTTTGGCTGAGTTATTTTCCCAAGAGATGTCTAGGTGCCCTATTATTATTATGTCTTTGTATCCTGAAAGTTATGTATTCAGTCCAGGAAGGCACTATCCTGATTTTCGACCCGATTCCATGGTCTATAGCATATCTTTCTTTTTTCCCCTTCCTTGTATGCTTACTCAAAAAATCTTGGTTAGAGTCTCATTCCCAAATTCCTGAGCCTCATTCCCAAATTCCTGAATCTCAGTGCATGTATGCATTTCTTTCACATACCCTTCAATCTTTGCATTTCACTGATGAGTTTGAGAGAATCATAGAACCAAAAGGTTTGAAGGGCTTATGGAAGTCTTCTGCTTCAACACTCTGCCTAGGGATCTTAGACCATCTTGGACCAATGGCAGTCCAACCTTTTTTTATGTCCAGTGTGTAATAGTCCTCATGGCCAGAAAATAACTCCTTATTTTGAGTTTGTGGTTGAATAAATTTACACCCACTTCCCTATGATAGCCTTTCAAGTATTGGAAGACTGCTATCATGCTTCCTTGGTCTTTTCTCCTTTAGGCTAAACATATCCAGTTCTTATAAACAAGTTTCATAAAATTTGACTTCCAGGTGCTTTGCCATCTTTGTTGTTTTTCTCTCCACTGTTTCCATTTCCTCAGCATCCTTTTTGTATTGTGGTGATTAAAATGATCACGTCCCATAATTTTAACATTACCCCATGGTTGATATAATCCAACTTTCATTCGTTGGTTGTTTCTTCTAGATCATATTCTTTTTCCTGCATTAGGATTTCTTGCTTTTGCCTGTTTCCATACTTCCGTTGGCAGTTTTTCATCCTCATCATCATCCCCATGCTGTTTCATTTATAACTGAAATTGAATAATATGTAAACAAATTTGAATGCAAGCTTCCATCTCTCTCTACGAGAATAGGATGAGCAACATTTCACCATAAGGTCCTCTTCCTGATTTTCTGGTTGTACAGTTTTCATTAACTGAAATAGGAGCAGAGCTTTGAACCCTTGCAATTTGTTGTTGTAATGAATCCTCCAACCATGAGATCCATCTGTCTTATCCTGGGGCAATTTGCTGCATACTTAATACATTGCTCCCATGGCTGCTTCGCTCGAGGTCATCCTGATGATATAACTGGTATTGGGAGCAAAAGAGAGACCAGTTTTCTTGGAGTGAATCCAGCACTTTGCAATGCTGGATGATCGTTAGCTAGAAATAGTACTCTAGTGATATACTTTGTCTCGTTTTTCTGGCAGATAAGGTCACATTGTGGTGGTTTTCAGACTTCTCTTCTCCATATCTAATTAGTATTTTAATTTAACACTCATCATCCATTGAAAAGGATGTTTAGTATCTGTAATACTGTATTCCAAAAGGAGTGCTTAATGAAATGAAGTGCAGCTTATATACTTCCCTAATAATTATTTCATCAGCCCTGTAAGAATGAGCACCTTGATTAAATACTATGGTGATACTTTATTTCTGTGTGGAAATGCATATGTAAAGGGAGATATATGGGATGAGTAGGTCAGACCTATTCTTCCTCAGGTCCCATTGTTAGATTCCATATAGAAAAAATACTGAAATCCAATTAGACCATTTGTCATCATATACTGTAGGATAATTTAGGTTAACCTGCTTCCCACCCATCTATCTTTTGTTGTCATATTGTCATATTGATGTATTCTCATTTTCTTGTTCTTTGTTTTATTGTTCTATTATTTTACTTCTGTTTTGTTTACACTTTTTTCCATTTCTTTGTATTGTTGTAAGCTGCCTAGAGAAGCCCTGCAGAGTGATGGGTGCCAAATAAATTTAACAAATAACATTATTAAATAAATAATATTTATTAGCTGGGGTGGCACAGTGGTTAGAACATAGTATTGCCGGATACTTCTGCTAACTGCTGGCTACCTGCAATTTGGCAGTTCGAGTCTCACCAGGCTCAAGGTTGACTCAGACTTCCATCATTCCGAGGTCAGTAAAATGAGGACCCAGATTGTTGGGGCCAATATGCTGATTCCGTAAACCACTTAGAGAAGGCTGTAAAGCACTGTAAAATGGTATATAAGTCTTATTGCTATTGCTATTAACAAATAAAAAATAAATAAATTCCCCAAACTAATTCTAACATTAAAATATGCCAGTGGGTTTAGGGAGCAAATGTTACCAAATTCAGCAAATGTGCCTTGCCTGTTTTCCTAAGTTTTGTGTTTCAGTGTGGAGGATAGAGTCTAGACTCTAGACCAAGGGTCTTCAAAATTGACAGCTTTAAGACTTGTGGACTTCAATTCCCAGAATTCCTTCTCCAGTCATGTTAGCTTGGGAATTCTGGGAGTTGAAGTCCACAAGTCTTAAACTTGCCAAGTTTGAAGAACCTTGGTCAAGACAGACACAGCTTCTTCTTATCTACCCATTGCTTTTGTACAAGTAAACAGTCAGTTCTATATCTAGAAGGAAGAGAGGTATATCATCTTGCTTATAGGCAATATATTAAGTAGAGCTGTCACTATCTTGATCTGGTATCCTTTTAATTTTTGGAGTTGCAACTTTCCTAATTCCCAGTTAAAATAAAAATTCCCAGTTTGAAACCTGCCTCAGAATGCAGATAAATGCAGAGTAATGCATTTGGAAGGGCACGAAGCAGATAAATGATATACAATATCCCAAAGAGTATACAATAACTCCAGAAAATAGGTACTGCTGTTCTTGCCCAAAATAAATCCAGTCAAATGCTTGTCTTTTTGAATGATCCTGTGTGCATATATTCTAATGAAATTATGTTCTTATTCAAGCTTTTTCTCATCGCAAAAGAGAAATGTTGGAATGCATTGTTAAGTGATGGGATTCCAGATCCTTATTCCTAAGATCAAAAAAAATAAAGTAACTGTTGAGATCAGGGGTGGGATTCAATTTTTTTTACAACAGGTTCTGTGGGCATGGCTTAATTGGTGGATGTGGCTTGATGGTCATGTGACTGGGTGGTCATGGCCAATTCAATGCCACTCATGTCGAGGGGCACTTCGCCTCATCCAGCCTCTTGTCACCGTGGGGATGCCGCAACAGTCATAAGTGTAAAAAATGGTCTTAAGTCACTTTTTTCAGTGCAATTATAAGTTTGAATGGTCACTCCACACAAGCAAAGTACCAGCAAAGGAGGGGGGAAAAACTCCAGAGATTTCCTGAGACAGGAAGTCTAGTCCTGCCAAGAATGTAATAAGGGTTAATGGAGAGGCAGTTTCTGTAAGCAACACCAGAATTTTTCCTTCCTGCCTTCCTTACAGGATTAGGCCAGTAATTTCTTCTAACAACTGGTTCTCCGAACTGCTTAGAATGTTAACAACCAGTTCTAGCGAATAGGTGCGAACTAGTAGAATCCCACCCCTGGTTGAGATCTCTTTCTAAACACGTGGCGTGGTTCTGCACAGTACTTTTCAGATCTCAGAAACATTTTTGTCGATTCAAGGAGCCAGTTACCAATTGGCCTTTGCAGTCAGGTTGGCATTAGATGAGATTTAGATCTTTGCAATAGATCTGTATTGATTTTATATTTCTTGCTCTTTGCAGTCCTGCATATAAAGTTCTGCAGAATGGGGAGATGAGTGAAATTATTGTGACTGAACAGCCTGCCCGGATTGGCATCCTGCTAGACTACAATACTGGAAGACTCCTGTTTCTCAATGCAGAAAGAGGGCAGTTGCTGTCTGCTATCAAGTACAAATTCACCAAAGCAGCTTATCCTACTTTTGTACTGGAACAATCAGGGTTTCTCAACCTGCATACAGGCATGGAACTACCAGAATTTGCAAAGCAAAGCTAAACATTCTCTTCTGAATAATACACAAAAGAAAAGAAAAGAAAAAGAAGACCTGAGATGGATTTTTTTCTTTTATATTCAATGGCCATGATTCAGAGAAGCACTCAGAGTGTTTGGTGGCCTCTGTAAGTTTTCCCTTCTATTCAGAAACACTACACACACAAACAAACAAACAGAAACTCAGAAATGGTGGGGAAGTTTCAAGAGTAGATCAAAGAATCTCCCCTTAGAAAAAAAACAACAACCAAGAAGCTCACAGAGTACACATAATCCATCCACAGGCCTGTAAGGTATTTGGACGTTGCCCAAATTCTTTCCCCCAGTTATTTCTATTCACTGGAATCATGTGCTCAAATGCTCGCAGAGAAATCCTAAATAGAATCTTCACCACTTAGCTATTTTTCATGCACGATGTTGAAAGTATCAAATTACTTTCTGGAGGAAAAATGTTTATGTTACTGTATTAATATTAATGATATATTAAAATAATGCATTGAAAATTAAATATTAATATTAATTAATAGCCAAAAATGTGATATGCTCATGCAACACCTATTGGTTGAAGGATACTAGAAGCTTCTTTTCCATTAGTTCCTTGGTTTCAGGTCCAACACAAGTGGAAAGACCAAGCAAGCAAGAACATACAGATTTCAGGAAGGTATCTTTAATGCTAATCAGAAGTAAACAGGGAATTTTGGAAATGCAAATAAGAACTTTCCATCTTCATTAACAGTGCATTAAAACCAGTCAAGCTTCTCTGAGAAATTTGAAATGCACCTTTTCAAATTTCTCTCCGCTTGTGCATAGTGGATTTATGTGATTTTTATTTATTTATGTATAGCTGCCCATGAGCAGCATGGCGGTCTAGAGGTGGAGCTCTCACCTCACAATCAAGAGGTTGTGAGCTGGGTCCTAGGCAGCGGTACATATTTCTCTGAGTACAATGAGTAATTGTCTGCAAACTTTGTGTAGGTGTCAGGAAGGGCATCCAGCCAGTAAACGCTCAAACTCCATTCAGTTGCTTCATCTCCATTCCAATGCAAGGAATTACACTCATCCACTGTCTCTTCATTGTTTATATCTATATATCTATCTTTAAATCTATTTATATCTATCTTTAAATCTATATGGTTGTTAAGAGTCAGCAATGAATTGATCACACATCATTATCATCTCCATCTTCATCTCATCCATTCTTTCTTCAGCCTCCCCACAGTCTCTCACACTTGAAAACGAGTAGCACACTTAACAGGAACCCAAGCGCAGAGTTGGCTCTACTTTGGAGCAGAGTGAAGCAATTGAAGGGCAGGCAGGCAGCAGTGACAACTTCTCAACTACTCGTTCCTTTTCTCTGGGAAAGTACAGCTGTATGTGCCATGCAGCCTATTCTGGGCCTCCTAAACTACTTTCCAGACATGTTTATTTGAGTCTGGCAGCTAATCTATTATACATCTGTGCTTTTTAAAACATTCTTAGCATATACAATTAACAAAACAACATTTAAAGTAAAAAAAAAAAACACTTAGAAACCAAAAGAAAAGGGGAAAAAAATCTTCCAACTCTACATTTTGCCTTTTTAATTTTTTTGCTAAAACGCTAGATTTAAATGCTTTGGGGATGTCAGATGTTTCCTAGGTACAACATAGCTTATCCTCTTTAATCCTTGGAGCCTGAGCTGGAAAAAATAATGGCTGTCTATCAAAGATAAACACTAATTTCCACTGTCAAATAAGAACAGAACCAGAATTCCACTCCTTTAAATGGTACTGATATCCAAAATCATGTGCACTGGTTTTTGTCCCAGGAAAAAAAAAGAGAGAGAGAGGTTGGCTCAATGCCAGCTTCACCCCCTGGGGTATGAATGATGTTCTTGCAAATGTAGAGACCAGAGCTTTTCATTTTCTTTACAGCAACCCTTCCTTGACTCCTGCAATTCTTGACAGGTCCCTGCAGCTGCTATTTAAAACAGAAACAAAATGGGCACATTAAATAAATCCATGCTTTTTATATAACACCATTTGGCCTGCTCAGAGCTTTGGGATTTGGAGCAGAAGATTTTGGAACTTCAAATCCTAAATGGGTCCCTAACACACACACACACACACACACGACAACCATTGAATAAGTCTTTTCAGTGCTGATAAAGTGATGTCTTCTGTTTCTATGTTCCAAATTCCCATTTTCAAAAAGCTGCCCAAACAACAGCAGACAGGATGGTAATGCAGATTAAAAAAAAAAAAAAACATAGGCAGGATTTCAACTGGACCACCACGGCCATCTTGAATTTTGAATATTTTTATTTCTATCTAACCTTTGCAAAATGTTCAGGAGTCAAAGAAGACAAATGCAGGTAAAGGTGGCTTCAAGAAAACTGCCTGCAATTAATTGGGGAAATCCTGCAAAGCAGGGCAGCACTTCTTTTAATGAAGTGCATCGATTTCATGTTTATCAGGCTGCGAAAATCTTTGTCAGTTTAAAAGTAAGCCTATCCCTCAGCGACTAAGCTAAGAATTTATTGTAATTATTTTTTTTTAAAGTAAAGAGGGGGAAAAAAGCAGAACTATATAAACTTCAAAGTCTCCTGCCACCACTGCCAGTATGATGCCCGATAATACCAGTGTTTCTCCAGATACTTCCCTTGCTGTTGTCATTTAGCTACCACAACCGGGTGCAGCAATTTGGTCATTATGTGAAGTGGTCACTTAAAAAAAAAACCCCACAACTGTGCTTCTGATCTTACTTCGGTTTGGCTTTGCTTTACAGACCCGTGAAAGTTGTAAATGTGACGATTGGTCATAAAAATGGCACTTTCATCGTTGTAACTGTGAATTCTCATTAAGCAAGGACTGCCTGTAATGTAGGAAGCAAAGAACAAGCTTCAGGTACTGCGCTATATATTAGTGTTTCTCAACTTTTCTGCAGTTGTGTGTGCCCCAGCCAGTTTGGTGCAGTGGCTTAAGCCACCAGGCTAGAAACTAGGAAATAGTGAGTTCTAGTCCTATCTTAGACACAAAGCCAGCTGGGTGATCTTGGGCCAGTTGTTATCTCTCAGCCTGAAGAAGAAGGCAATGGCAAGCCCTTTCTGAAAATCTTGCCACAAAAACTGCAAGGACTAGTCCCAGTATTTCTAGGAGTCAATATGCACCCAGGCAAAAAGTTCAGAAATCCTGATCAAACACCCCGCCCTACAATTTCATTTTTAAAACCCCGGAAGTTTGTTTTTCAGCCCATAAGACATGCTTTCCTATCCCCTCCCTTTTTAAAGTCCTTTTTGAAATTAAACTTTCAACCCCTTTACTCCAACATTAAATACTTATTTACCACTTAAATTATTTTATATAATCTATACCATATAACAATAACTCTTAGCCCAAACATTGATCAAAGAAGCTGGAAAGGTGGCAACAAAAGGTTCTCAGGCTTGACAGAATCGCAATCTGAAGACTGAGCAGATGCTTTGCAAACTTAAGGCTGAGAAGAGAATAGCTTAATATTTATTACCTTGAAAATCAATCCGAGAGATGATATGATAGGGATCTTCTATGTCACAGGGCTTCTATCTTGTCTGCAATAAAATGTTTAGGAGGTTTGTGTTTATATATTTCAACTGTAAAACAGATTTCTGGATATGAGGTTAAGTATTTGAAGACAATAGATATAATGGCATGACATCTGATTGCAAGATCTGCCTTTTTCAACCTAAAGTTCAAAGTTAAACAATAGCTACAGCTCCCCTTGCCAACTTGCTAATATTCAGGTCACCAGTGCCTTATTCAAACATCAAAAATAAGTTGCAACCCATGATAATCAGCTAATTTGACAAGTGGGGCAGAATCAGTCACATGTGTGGCATCCATACTAATTTCAGCCGAAGATCTGGCAGAGGCTGCTTGAACACTTGAAGCAGATACAGTCCTCCAAGGACATGCCAAAAACAATGAGAATTCAGCAAAGTTATTACCTTCCTCAAACAATATTAATCATACAGATACCTCAGATATAAACGTTACGAACTGAACTTGAATAGGATTTATGAACGTCCTAACAAATAAGAGATGTGCAAAATGGCCACCCATGTTTGAAGCAGAATAGTTCAGACAATTTTCTGAAAATCCTGGGGACTATCTTCCAATGATCCAATTAGAACTAAAGATTGCCAAAATCCATCATCACTGACAGGGTAAGCACTTAGTACAAGAGTAATACCATTGATATGGAACCATTTGCACTGAATGTTGGCTGGAATGAAAAAGGTTTGATTGGGCAGTTTAAAGTGGGAACGTCGAACATGAAATGAACTCATTTGTCAGGGCATGCCAGCAACATTGTCTACATTATTCCAAGACTGCTTGACGGAAAATCAGGAAATTGTGGCAGAGGACTGGTTGGAAAGAGAAGATGCCATTATTTTTGTTGTAGTCCTCTCTCCTACACTTCTGCCCACACATCTGAAACTTCAACTCCATAGATAGCAGAGTGGAATATGTAAGCATCCTGTTAATACTGTTTTCTGACACCTCAACTAAGCGGTATGCTTGTGGGGAAGGGGACATTTTGCAATCAGATGCTTCAAATCAGGGGGCCCCAAACTTGGCAACTTTAAGATTGTGGACTTCAACTCTGGCTGGAGAATTCTGGGAGTTGAAGTCCACAATTCTTAAAGTTGCCAAGTTTGAGACCTCTGCTTTAAATACTCCAGTTCTGGCCTGTTGGGAAATGGATCAATGTTTGGTCCTCCAATGGCTAGAATCTCCAATGTCCAGATATTAAGTGAAACACAGCCATGTGAAGCTTGACATCATAATTTATGTCTGTTCTGTGCAAATCCAGGTCAGGTTGTAAATGTAACAGTGGCCCTTATTATACTCTGATACAGAACAACTTCATTGAAGGCACTCTTACAAGGAAGAGATACCTGGATGATGCTGATAAAAATGATTGCAAGAGGAAAGAGAAAACATTGAGGAAAATAGTATTAGAGCTGAAGCTGACAAGGTGAAATTAGCAGTTTGCAGCCTAAATAATTACTATGTAAAGTTCTGCAGATATTTTCCTTTTCTCAAGGGCAGTAGGAAAATTATCATACTTCCATTGAAAAGGCAGGAGGAAAAAGTCTAGAATTAAACCCTGGAGGAGACTTACATACAGAGTTTGAATTCTTTGTTCCACCATTCCACCCCCACCTCTTTCTTTCTCTCTCCCATCTACAATAAAGCAGTTTTTCTAGCCTGTGAATTTTTGTCTATGAGCAATTGTTGTGAATTCTGGCATACAGGGTTGAGTGTTTGGAGAATCAGGATTTATTGCTATGCCTTGCACAAGTCTGAGAAGATAAAGTTCTACTTCATGCAGTACTTGCAGAGTCATAATAAATAACCACAGGTTGTTACTTTGCATGCTTCAATGGTCCAGTTTTGTAAACCTGTAATAAGCCCTAGCTTTAACTTGCCCGCTAACAGACAATGAGGATGGGGAGGCAAGGGTTTGAAGCCAACAAGGTGTCCCTTGGCCTGTTGATTGGTATTGAATGCATGATGGCATTTTGGTTTAAGGGGAAAAAAAGGAAGGATGGTTGTGTGAATGATTGTCCCTGCCTATAAAAACAAAGAAAGGAATACTGCAAGTAACAGAAATAGATGGATAAAAGTTAAAAACCTTTGCTGCAATGTAATGGTTAAGGTGATAGACTGGGATCAGGGTTAAGGTGATAGACTGGGATCCCTACCTGAGATGGAGATAACCAGGTGACCTTGGACTATTTAATAGCATATCTATCGAAGAATGGATCATAGGAATAAAATTACAAGAGATCCTCCTATACATTACCTTGAGTTCCAAGAAGGAAAGTAAGATATGAAAATGTAACATTAATAGCAGTTCATGTTGTCTTCATTGTACTAAACATTTCCTGCCACCATCAGAAGCTAATTTCTATTCAACAATATGCTTATCTTGATCACAAGGAAGCGCATTAATCTACCCAGACAGGATACACTCAGACATATAAAATCTTAAAGAAGAGAATATATGTAGCTCCGAGTTGAACTGTGGGGTGCTTGCTGCTCTCTGAGTTAATTGTTTGCAGGCAAATATCCGGTACTGAAAATGTTATCTAGTGGGATAACAAAAGGTCTGTATGCAAACAAGGACTCCACAAGTCATTGTCTTCATCACCAAGGACTCTGGGTGCTGACAAAGTTCAGCACCAAGCACCGCAAAGAAAATCTTGTCTAAGAGCACTATGACAATCCATTAGTTTCTTAGCTTTAAGGCCAGTAATTCGAGTGTTCCTTAAGAAAAAGCAAGAAGAAAGCAGATTACAAGTCTAGTGATGAACCATCTAGCATCTGCTAGATTTCTGGTTCTTCTTATTGCTTTTAAGCAAAAATGCATGCCAAGAATCAATTTAACACATTATTAAGCTCCATCCTCATACTCAAAATAGGCTGATACTGCAGCATCTCTTTGGTCACACAATTGGTAGAAGCAACATTTTTAATAGTAAAGAATAAAATGTGTAAATCCCAGCCTGCCAATCTGGCTTATAGCTATTTCGTTAAAGTATTAGCCCCATCTGCTGACAATTAATGAAACAACCATGTAATAAACTGGTAATTATTTAGAAACCAGCAGAAAGATAGGAACTGGGATTGAAAATAAACACTTCACACAGCTAACCTTGGTGTTTGTTTTTTAAAGAAAAGAGCCAAAAAGAGGATCAACATTTCTGTAGCTTTAAATAAAAGATCCTGCATTCTGTTAATATGGAAAAATACATTTTATCTTTTTGGACTCAAGATTAACTGAAAATGACAGTGTGCTGGAGGAGTAAAAAGGATATAAATTTCACAGCGAATTTATCAGGAAACCATGCTCGTCTAATGGCAGCCAAAAATCACAAGGAGTCTGGTAGCATCTTTTCAGACATAATTTTTTTATTAAGGCATATGCTATACCAGATGCATGTAGTGGCTAAACCGAACTAGGAATTAAACTGTAATAGAGAAGGGAGGGAAAAGGGAGGTTGGTTAAGCAGGAGCAGGTTGGGTAAGACACATTGTAAATACTTGATCAATTAATAGTTGAAGTGCATTTAAAAACCATTATATTTGTTGGAATTATTTCATGCAAGTGACTTCAGCAATCTCTTGCTCAGTTGTGTTACTAAAATTTGGTTTTCTAAAATAGTTAATGAGATCTGTGATGGAGTCTCCTGGGACACTTAAATGCTTTGATATTACTCTGTCCTTGTTTTGAGTCTCGATGTTATGCTTGGATCTGTTAATTATTTTGTGCAGAGGTTGGTCTATTTGTCCCACATATTTCTCTAGTTAAGGAAAGCTTATGCATTTAGTAAAAGTTGCTAATATGACACATGTTATGAGACTCTTTCTGTTGTAAGAGGAATACAATGACAAACATTAGTAAGATGATAATGAATAAAAATATTTCATTAACAGCAAAGATCCAAACTGTTGCAGGATTGGGCTGACTGTGCGGTAATATTTTATTATACTTGTATGTTGC